GTATTTCTGTCTTTATACTTATGTTGAGGTTGCTGATCTGTAATATTATATTAGAACTAGTGTCCCTCACTTAAATAAGGGCACATGTGTCTTTTCCATTATATTAGTAATATAAAACATGTCTGGCCGAATGGGAGAAGTAATTTTTCCCTAATTCGAACCAGACTTTTCTTCTCTCCTTTTCTCCTCCTTTCTCTCTCTCTTTCTTTCTTCTTTCTTCTTCTTCTCTCTTCTTGGCTGTTATCAGACTAACAAAACTCAAAGACAGGCCGAATTATAATAGAAATCAATTATACTGGAGACTTCCGTTTGCAATTCCATATCTGCGGAGAACTTAGGAAGGTTAGGCTGTGTAATTACTTGTGACTTTAAGCATTTCTTTAGGACTGAGACATGAAAAACAGGGTGTACCTTGGATTCTGGTGGAAGATCCAGACAATATGCTATTGACCCAACTCGATCCATGATCTTGAAAGACCCAAGAAACACGTGGCACTAGCTTGTTCCAATGCTGTTTCTGAGTAGAGAGGAATTTATACAGTAGTAGCTTTAGATAGGCCATGTTACCTATCTCATAATTGTCCTGGTGATGATGTTTATTGTAGTAATGTTTCATCCATTATTGGACTTGAGTGAGATTGTGGCGAAGCTCCTTGTCTGGCATCTCGCTGCAGTAAATAGGCTTCTAAAGAAGTCACCAGTGTCGACCCTTGTTCATAAGGCAAAAGTGGTGGTGGGTCTCTTCCATATAATGCCAAGAAAGGGATCATACCTGCTGCAACATGGAAAGTTGTATTATACAACCACTCTGCCCAATGCAATCATGCTGTCCATTGGCGCGGTTTGGTTCTCGTGAAGCACCTTAACTACGTTTCCACACATCAATTGACCACCTCTGTCTGCCCATTTGACTAAGGGTGGTAACTAGTGGATTTGTTCAATTGGACTCCTTGAAGTTTACAAAGCTCCTTCCAAAAGTTACTGATGAAGATCAGGTCTATGTCTGAAACAATAGACAGTGGGAACCCATGAAGTCTGGCCACTTTTCTAATGAAGGTTTCAGCTACTGATGAAGCTGTAAAGGGGTGGGCCAAGGCCAAGAAGTGGCTGTATTTGGTAAGTTGATCCACCATGACCAAGATAACTGATTTCCCCATGGAGATTGGTAACTCCGTGACAAAATCCATGGATATGGCTTCCCAAACTTGGCTTGGGATGTGTAGTGGTTGCAATAGGCCTGCTAGTTATTAGGCCTCATATTTGCACTGTTGGCACACTTGACAGGCTGCGATAGGTTGATGGATAAATTTTAGCATTCCCTTCCAATAGAACTGTGAGGAAATGGATTTATAGGTGTGCAACACACCTGAGTGCCCTCCTAGGGGGGGAGGCATGGAAGTAGTCCAGTAATTGAGCCCAAGTGGGCTGAATTTGTGGGTAACACCACCCAATCCTTGAAATACAAAGTAGCCCCTTTAAGTGAGAATCCAGGTCTGGAACTTGGGTCTTGATTTTCTTAAGTGCTGTACTGCTATCAGCATCCTCGCACAGCTGGTTCCATAATATTGAGGTTGGTTGATGAGATACCTGGCTTGGCTAAGTCAAGCAAAGCGTAACAATAGCAAATGCTCTAGCAAGGTCTGGAGTAACAGGGAACATCTCTTATAGGGAAACCAGGGCCAGGTGTTGATATAAATTGACCCTAATATAACATAAACTTTTTGGATATATGTCAGCAATGTGCTCATGTGCTGTTGTATTGTCTTCTCTATCAGTTTTGGATACTATTCATTCCCTTTATACTTAATATTATTCAATGTTACTGATAATAAAAATTGGTGGCAGAGATAGCTTGTGTTAGATCATTTAATTCTGAAATGGTTAAATTTTTAGTGGTTAATTTCTTGAGCTTCAATTTGTCAATGTCTGTCCCATTCTAGTCAATTTTTAAACACATCCACCTTTTACTGACATGTATCTTTTAGTATAGACTTAAAACAACTGCATCTTTAAATCTCATGGCATTTTGAATTGCACTTACATGTTAGTGATTTCATACTAGAATTTGATGAATAATGTTAAGTTGTGTTATATACCAGGCTGTTGTTGCTGCAAGGATGATAGGAAGCTACCCTGAGAGAATAGGGCAACCAGAATGTCAAGTATGCATTTTCTCTTCCTTTCCCTTATTCAACAGAGTATTATTCAATATGTAGGGTTGCGTGTCAAGTTGTACTTTCAGTGTTCAGATTTGATATCATTGTTATTGATGGAGTTTTTCCTTCAACTTTTATTATGTAATTAGAATGAAGTTCCTGTATCAGTGCACTCTTAAATTGCTAATAAAAACATTTGTTAATTTAGATGATTTAAATGTATTTTTTATCAAACTACTGGAAGCTAGACAATATGTGTTTGGTTCTGTTAGTATGTAGCCGCAGGGGCTATTTTATCTTTTCTTCTCTTTATTTTATTGTAAAGTTGTCACCCTAAATATTAATAGAAATAGAGGCACTGCCAGCTTGACTTTTTGGTGCCTTTTTCAATTCTCTTCTCTCTTTTGTTCTTCTCCCTTCTCCCTTCTCTCTTCTCCTTTTCTCCTTTTCTCTTCTTTCTTCTTGGAGTACATGGTATCAGAGCAGGTTTTTGGCTTAAAAACATTCAGATCGTGGTTTCTCATCTAGAATTTAGCTTTTTTGACTGGAAAAAGATGAAAACTAACCATCAATTAATCATTTTCTTTAATCAAGAAAAAACAGCAAGAAAGAGTGTGAGAACAAGAGAGAGCAAGAGAAGAGAAGAGAAGAGAAGAAGGAGAAGAGTCAATCATACTCTCTCCAGCCCTATAATCTTTTGTTTAAAATAAAAAAGGTGTAATTTCATAAAACACCTTGACGGGCAGCTGCTTCAAGTACTTAAAGAAAAAAAGGTTAACAAGCCCATAACTAAAGGCCCATTAACATAAAAAAATGAAAAAAACATAAGGCTGAACTAATTTATGGCCCATCCGGCCCAATATTTCTACACTCCCCCCTCAAGCTGAGCATGTATGTCTATTATGCCTAGCTTGCTTACATCTTGCTGCAATTTAGCTTTAGTAACTCCCTTGGTAAGTACATCGGCTAGATGTTCTTCAGATGCAATGAAGGGTAGAAACTTCTCCAAATACCACTCTCTCTCTAATGAAGTATATGTCCACCTCAATATGCTTCGTCCAATCATGTTGGTAGGATTATGTGGGCTTGTCATATTCAACACCCATCTCCATCAGAGACCGTAACCACAAAAGCTCAGATATACCATGTGCCATGGCTAGGAATGGCAACGGGGCGGGTATTAGAAGGGAACCATAATCAGCCCTTAGGAATTAGACTGTAGATGGTTTAATCCCTAACTTGTCTTGGTAGAGGGACCATAATCAACCAAGGAAAAGCACCTGGTTGTAGATGATTTCTTTCCCTCTATTTACTTTCCTAGAAGTAAGAACAAAAGAGAGAGGAAGAAGGATACATAGCAAAAGACATATATAGGAAGTATTTATAGAGAGGACTTTCCTTTACGTACCTGTATTAGTGAGATTTCTTTTTTTTTCCCATCTTCCCTTGAGAACTTCTCTTTTCTTCTGTCTTTATTTTGTTTTTCTTAAGAAGCTCTTAGAGTGGTATGCTTTAAGACAATTTTCTCCCAAAGAGGAGCCTCTAGCTTCCCCTTAAGGAGCTTAAATAGAGAATAGGATAGTTATGCAACTACCCCCTCCCCCTAGGTGAACTCCCGTACGGGACACCTTATTTAGTTTTGATGATTTAGCTAGCACACTAGCCAACCAACTTATGTTGGTTATAAACTATTTAAATATTATTTAGGTTTTTAAACAAAATTCAGTCAACAGTGCCCTCTTGAGCACTGTAGGCCCAAAATATGTGCATGCAGGGCTTAAATAAGCAATTATAGTAAAAACTTATGGATGTTTTATCATTAGAAAAGAATTGAGCTTAAATTGGAAGTCCTAGTATGATCAGGACTCTTGTAGTATCTCTCATCAGACAAAATCTGATATAATCAAACTACTTGGTTTGATTTGATGAGGCTTTATATTAACTCATCTTGTTAAATTGAGAAGTCCTAGTCTAACTAGGACTCTTGATTTCATTATGCTTGACATTATTAATTATGTGATTTGATTTGAACATTTTGAGGGTTAACCACAAATCTTCACTGTTGGAGGAGTCCTAGTTGAAGGACTCCTTGATTTTATCAAATTACCTTTGATTCACCCTTACATCTTGATCATGAGTCATTTTGACCAAGATGATTATTTTGTAGGTGTAGAGATGCAGAGCAATAACTTTTGCTGTTAGTTATTTATTGTGGTCCCCACTGCTGCTGTTAAATAGTTTTATATTTGTTGTTAGGATGCTGTTAGCAAAGTTAGTTTATTAGTTATTTTGTTATTTGCCCATATAGGCAATAGGGACTTTAATGTAATTATCATCTTTTAATGTTATTATAAATAGATGAGTGGGGCGGCAGATATAGCCTATCACTCTTTCTCTCATCTTTCTTTTCTCTCTTCTTTCTTCCTCTTTCTTCTTCTTCTCTCTTCGCCAGCTTTTTTATTTTTTCTTTTAAATCTGCATCAAGAATTGGACTGATCACAGTCCAAATTTGTCTACTTGGTATCAGAGCAAGATCTAGGGCTTCTCATGTGAGTCTAATTCAGCTGACCACATGAGAATTGCCTAGGGCTGGAAGTTTAGAAAGATCATTCCTTTCGGCTGATTCTTGGAGGTTACCAGAAGTTTTTAGCAGCTGTCTGGTAATTGGGAAGAATCAGAGAAGGTTAAAGGGATCAAGATTAGGTTTTGATCAAGATGGAAGGTGGCGATCAGAATTTTCTGGATAAGTTTTCATCTCTTCTTGAGGCCGGCAGCAGTAAGAGATAAGTTGGACTTATCTAGAAGGGGCGGCTGAGCTTCCTTCATTTTCTCAGGTTTTTTCTAGGGTTTATTCTTAACTCTACGGCCAGTTTTGACTGTGAGCCTTATTTGGACGGTGTGGCTGAAAAAAATCTGACTTTGAACCTTTTTTGGAGGGTGTGGCTGAGAAAAACCTGACTGTGAATCTGTTTTGGAGGGTGCGGCTGAGAATTGCTGTTGTTCTCGCAAGGTTTTCTCCAAGTGTCCTTAACCCTAAGATCAGACCTGATCTTTGACTGGTTCCTAAACCTGTTTTATCAGTAAAAAAATTGTTTTTTGAGTGAATTCTAGATTTGTTTTCAGCCTCTAAATCTGTTTTTGAGGAATCCCTTTACTGAGAACTGGTTTTTCTTGGTAAACCTACTACAGAAATGGCAGGAACTGAGTTTAAGACTCAAGGGGAAGGTTTTTTGGGGGCTGGAAACATGGGGGATAACAATTTTCAGATCACTACTGTTAAGTTTGATGGTTCTAACTACTTGGAATGGGCTCAGTCAGCCATGATGGCGATTGGGGGCAGAGGGAAGTTGGGCTATGTGAATGGAGATGTAAAAACACCAGCCAAGGAAGACCCTTCACATGCCAAATGGGTTCAAGAGAACTATTTGGTCATGATTTGGCTGTGTAACTCTATGAAGCCTCATATTAGCCGAAATTATTTGTGGGCAAAAACAACAAAAGAAATTTGGGAAGTGATGAAGGAAACCTACTCTCAGCCTCTCAATGTTGCTAGGGCCTATGAACTGAAATGTGAAGTAAATAATCTCAAACAAGGGGAGAAGCCGATTTCAGTGACTTTTCAACTTTGAAATCATTATGGCATGAAATTGACCATCTAGAAACTATTGAGTGGGAGAGTCAGAAGGTTGTACAAACTTATAGAAAACAAGTTGAGACCAATAAGTTTTTTGAATTTCTAGCTGGTATGAATTCAGATTATGATATTGTGAGACAACAATTACTCACAAGGGAGAGTTTGACCTTATCTCAGGCCTATTCTTTAATGCATAGTGAGGAAAGTAGGAGGAAGGTAATGTTGCAGTTTCAGCCCATGGAATCAGCCTTGGTAGCCGTAAAACCGTAATTTGGGGGTGACAAGGAAAGGGACACAAAGAAGGAGGATAAGGACCTAGTTTGTGACCATTGTAAGAAGCCGAAGCACACCAAGGATACTTGTTGGAAGCTTTATCCTCGTTTAATGCCAGCAACGATCAGAAATAAAAGGGGGAATGCCAATATGGCTATGACTACTGATGGTGTTTCCTCTTCCAGCACAAGAACCACATCCCTAGACACTTCAGCTGCTGTTCGGGCTGCTCTGACTCAGTTAGAAAGTGAAGTTGGTACTTCAGTTCCATCATCTCAGCCATCGATTACTCCCACCTTAGCATTTGCTCATTCAGGTACATGGGCATCAACATATCTTGTTTCAGGCCCAGGTAATAATGGACCTTGTTGGGTCATAGATTTAGGTGCATCTAACCACATGGCATGCTTATATTCTCTGTTTACTAGTTTTTTGATGAATGATAATAGATTTATTAATTCAGAAGCTGATTTAGAGTGAATTCATATAACATCCCAGGGAGAGGCACGAGCTGCTACCCCTCCTTGAATCTTACAAGTAAACTAGGAAAGAAAAACAGGAATCACAGGTGAGCCCAAAACAATTCTTCCCTATTTACCCCTTGCTTGGCTAACACATCTGATAAAGTATTTGTTGATCTCCCCACCCACTATACAGTGACCAACATATTCCTTGTCAACCAACTGAATTTCTTCATTTTTTTCTTGTAGTGCCATATAGGCATCTTCAGGATTTTTCAACCAACCCACCACCACTTTGGAATCCCCTTCGATTATTAGGTGTTGTACCCCCAGCTAGTTTGCAAATTGCACCCCTTGTACAACAGCTAATATCTCTGCCCTGATAGAGTCCCCAATTCCTAAGGGACCTGAGTAGAGCAACAAAATCTCTCCCTTCTCATTTTTCAAAGCACCCCCCATTCCAGATAATCCTGGATTACCAATGCTACTTCCATCAAAGTTCAACTTCAGTGAGCCTTTAGATGGAGGAGACCAGCTTGTAACTGATTTGTCCTTTAGGGGTGAACACCTCACTTTTGCTGACCAATTTCTCCAAAGGTCATTAAAAGAGAATTGATGAAAGATTTCTCCAAAGGCCA